GGAGATCTGCGGGCACGACACCGTGACTCCCACCAATCTCCCTGACGGGTGAGTAATCGCCTCTGTGAGCTTAATCTCCTCATTGAAAGACAACACCGCCACCCCTCCTGCTCGTTCACTGTTTCCCACCACCGCTACCGAGGCGGGTTTCAACTGCGTCCAGAAATTGTGATCTCCTCTGATTCTCGTGTCTGTGAGCACCACCACGTCTGCAACTGTTCTGATCCACTTTGCGTGTGCAGTTCTTTTGCCGTTGCTTCCGAGGCCATTGACATTGACCTCGCACAGTGTGAGATTGCGGGTGTTATCCATTAATCCACTGAGACAGGGCCCTTTCGCATCCACGGGCTTGGTACAACAAAACTCCTACGCACATCCACGCACCACGATCAGGTAACCTCCTTACTTCTCGCTTGCCACGTCTGCCTCGGTCATGAATACTCCGAACAGCCGTCTTTCCCTGCACTGTCTCCTTTACAGCCCAAACTCCTTGCGAATCGGAAGGAAATTCATTTTCCCCCTGCTCTTTCTGCTTGCTGCGTCCCCCTGCAGGATAGCTGTACAGTGCTGCACCAACTTCACATGCGCTAGCGCCTGCGTAAAACTGGATCCGTGCGCCTTGCCGCACGCCTCCTGGACGCACAGCCAATCCTCCCTGCTTCCTCCCGTGGAGACCAAAACAACCGCAGGATCGCGCAAAATCTTCTTCACCCGCACGTCTAAAGGCAGGGACGCAGCTGCTCATGTATAAGGCGATGAGACCGTCAGCAGGGACGAACAGGGCCCCAACAGCCTGAAAAGCAAGGTTAGTGGTTGATGGTTTACCGTTGATCGCGTGCAGACGCTCGAGAGTCAGGTTCCACTTGCCGATGTTCTCCTACCGCTCCGTAACAAAATCATCGTGAAACTTCGTCATATGCATGCCAGCGCAGAAATCACAGGTGAGCGAGGGGTAATGCACGAGGAGCTGCTTGTGATGCACTGAGTCGACCAACAAATGCCACCAGCGATACTTATCCCCCGGGTGTCCCTTAACCAGACCCCGAATCTTGTCAGTGTCTGCGCCGGTAACCGGATCCACCACCCTGTGGAAGGCAGCCCCACTGAGGAACGGCGTCCGACCCCGCTTCTCCAACACCGTCTTCACCAGGTATTCATACACCATTTCCGACGTAATAGCCGCCGGGACACTCTTCAGCAGCACTTCGATGGAGTCCGGGTTAGTCGCTCGCTCCTGAATGTAGACCGGGTTTTCCGGGTGCTGCCAGTCCAGGTAAATGCTCTCCTCACTCAACATCTTGTGCTGGATCTGACGACACCACACGTAGTTCGCGTCCGATGCTTGCTGGAAAGTGACTTGCATCCTCCCATACCGCTTCTTTGACAGCCACGCCGGCAAGAGGACTTGGCACCTTGTCGTCGTCAGTACGTGAGCCAACATAAACTTCCTCCACAACGCAAGGAGTCCCTTAACCGTGTCGATAGTACGGGGAACCTCCTCCTCGTACTTGATCGGAACCAGCAGCGTGATGGAGAAACCCGCGCGCGCAACAATTTCTCCAGCTTTCACCGGGTCAAAACGCTCCTCAGGATCATCACTGAGATACCCGTCATCCTCTTCTTCCTCGTCTTCACTTCCCTCCTCAGGTGCATCAGGAGCAGCGGTCGGCGAATTCACCTCTTCCTCTTTTCCTTGTCCTTCGTTAGCGTTGTTGTCCCCATCTCCAACAGGCGCATCCGAAGAAGGAAACTTAAGTGCCGACAGCCTCTTCGCCAGCGATGCGCGCACACCACCGTCAAAAGGACCTTCTACATCCTTCAACTGCGGCTTCGGCGTAGCCGGCTCTGACTGATGTCCCTTAGCTGCCAGATCCATCACTTCAGAAACCGCAGACTTGGTTACCGGCTTGACAGTCTTCTTCGTCACACGCGGCATGGTGCGATGATGAGAGCTGGAGAAACTGCGACCGAGGCTTGATGAAGCACGCGTAAATGTGTGGTTTAAACTGACTGCTCTGAGCACCGTTCTCTTATAGCCGCGATGTAGCTGCAAATGCCTTATTTTCTTCCTTGGCTGATGATGCATGAAACCGTTGTCCTTGGTAGTTGAGTGTTCCTTGGTATTAGTTAATCGCGGTAGAATCTTTGTTGTGTCTGATGTCTCCTCGGGAATATAAGTTTCTGACATTAGCATAGGGAAAACCTTCTGGGGATCACTTCCAGTAGTTAACAACGGGGGTGACGGAGTGCCTGACAAAAAACTTGAAGTTTTAATGCTCGACATTTGAGCACATAAAGAGTATCTTCTTGTTTGTCTTGTCATGTAGATTCCGAATCCGCGTTTAGAATTAGTAACTGATAGGAAATTTGTAGACATTGAGGCTTCCTTAGTGCCTGACAGAATCCATGGCGGAACGCCTGTTTGCATTAACACTGAAATTGAAGTTCTTGTTGGAGAAGAAATTGAAGGGCAGTGGTACAGTTCTTTTCTGAAGTTTCATCGTTCAGATTTGTCGAATCAGAAGTTGTCAAAACAAGCAAGTAATGCTGACGGTGACACCTGTGCAGTGAGCATGTTGGCTCATAATCGCAGCTGAGGTACTCTTTGTCGCATGTGAGGCTGTGAGCAGGCACAGCAAACATATCATGAGATACCTCCCCTGCACCGGTGTCACCCATATTTTGAGATCCTCGGAACGGGGTGGATGCATTCAGTGGAGTTTAAAAAATGCCTTCATTTTTATCTGTGGGAGTCGAACCGTATGGTTGTAAACACCAGCGTGAACTTGTTCTGTCAACGGACTTTTTTTTCACAAGCAGCCCCTTCATGATTTGCAATCAACCGGCAAGCTAGCTCCTACATGCCAAATTGTGCTGTCCTTCAGCTCAGGCAATTTAGAGGGTGTGTCTGTCGTCTTCGTCGTCGTCCTACAGTACAATTGCGAATCACCTACCCTAAGGGATGAAAGCAAAACACTTGAGTCGCACGCCAGCGTGCTGCCAATTCATGCCACTGTCACCCCCGCCAGCGTGGCACATCCTGCACCTGCTGGACTGACACAGGCGCCCGAAGAGGGAGGGACACTGCTGGCAAAACTTCAAGGCCCCCGCCCATCCACCCCCTTTCCTCTTCGACAAACTCCCATGAGCTTACGCACCACTCCTTCAGGAAAATCAACACATCCAAACCAATCCTGCTTCTTCCCCACTAGGGCCAACTTCCCCCACACCCACATGCTGCTTCCTCCTACGCTTCCCTGTCGTGCCAGGGCGTGGGCAGTCAAGTTGGGTAAACCACCCCCGCTGTCAGCAAGTGGTGTCAATCATCACTGTAGCCAATGTTCAACCCACCAACCCCCCATCATCACCCCTTGACCTTCCCCATTCCACCTTGTTTCCCGCCCGCATTCCCGCGCGCCCCCCAAACCCCCCCCCCCCTCCCTCCCAACTCCCTTTTCATCCCAGTGGCTGGCTGGCAGGCAGCGACTCACAAAAGCGGATGGGTAGTGCGCTTGCTCACCATGATAACTGGTCACTCACCTCAAATTCGTCACTCAACATGCTTCATTTCTTGCAAAAACAGTCGACCACTCCCTCTTGACCCCTGCGTTTGTGCCTGAAGGTGCGATTATCTTGAGTTTCATCGCCTCATGTACATTCTTGTGTGATTTCTCTCCGATATGGCCGACACGCTTCTGGAGCCCGCGTGCCCTGGCTCGGCAGCCGAGCCGCCTGGTTCAGCGCCGCGGGATGAACCCCCGCCGCGAGAGAATTTTGAGCTCTTTAACAATAAAATTGTAGGGCGAAACGAGTCGGGCCCATTAACAGTCTCGCCTTCCCCCGTCGCGTTTCGCGCTGCTGCGCCTCATAATTTCGCTGATCACGCGGCGGCTGCTGCCGTGGTTGCTGCAGCGGCACCTGCGGCGACGGATCATGCGGCAAAATCGTCTCCGATTTTCGCGCCGCCTGCGTCCCTTGCGGCGTTCAAAGCGTCGCACGAAGCCTGCACGAAACTCCATGCTAACAACCGCTTGTTGTCGAACCTCCCGCCGAACCTCTCCCCCAGCCTGCTTGCCGAGCTTGCCGGCGTTGCTAGCACCGCGGGTCAAACTGCAGCCGCTCCAAACACCACTACCGCAACAACTGCCGCATTAAACGGCGGATTTCAAGTCCCCGCAACTGGCGGCGGGGGTGGCGGTGGAATGAGGATGGACGAGGCAATTTTGGCGCTCCAGCCGCTTGTTCGATTTGGGATGCAGCAGCAGCAGCAGCAGGCGCAGCAGCAGCAGCAACAGCCACCTGCACAGACGCAAGCGGCGGCGCAAGCAGCGCAGGCGCAGGCGCAAGCACAGGCGCTTCTGCCCGCGCTGCTCCAGCAATACGCCAACCTCCCGTCCCTCGCCCGCAATTTCCGTCAGCAAGATGGGACCGCCGCCGCCGCCGGGTTACATGGAGCCAGACTTGATAGCACCGCTGCACGCGGCGCGCTCGGCTCGTCGGCTGCGGCGGCTCTTCAGCAAGCCGTTCTCCGCGACATTGCTCGCGCAACCGGCGCCGCCGCTTTCGGCGCTCCTGCCGGCGTCGGCGCCGGTGCTGTTGGCGCGTCTGCGGGTCTCACTCTCTCCCCAAAACGCGGTTCGATCGGTCGGGACCTTGGCGCGTCGGCAGCGGGGCCGGCGGAGGCGGCGGAATTTAAACTGAGTGTCGGTATGCCGACAATCGGCGGGTCACCCGGCGGGGAATGTCGCGACGACGATTCTACTCGCGAAACCCATCGCCATCGTGCGACGCTGCAGAACGACGCGAACGACCACGCCCGGCGTCGTACGCGCGACGATCAGCACACTGCCGGCGACAGCTCCGGCGACAGCAACGTAGAGACCTGCCCGGAGCAACAGCGAGGCGGGGGGGGGGCGGGGGATGGCAGCCCCGCGGGGAACTGCAGTCCAGGGGAGCGGGGGGAAAGCAGCGGCGGAACCGGCGGAGCGGGCAGGGCGGGCATGAAGCGGAGCGCGGGCGCGCTGGGGTCGGGGCTGGATCTGGACGGGCTGGGTGGAGACGCTGCGCGCTCGGTGCGACCGCGCACTGTGGCGGAGCGGAAGAGGCGGAACAACATCAGGTATGGCGGACACGAAAGATGGACCTTCGATGTTCGTCACTCCGCGCCATGCGCACAGCCTGCGGTCGTACGCAATGTTTTTCACGCACGTTGTTCGCTACGCGCGCTGCCTGCCCCGCGCGCTGTCCGCCGTGCGCGCTGTCCTCATTGACGCGCTTTGTTCATCTAACCCCTCCCTCTTCCCCGTTGTCGCCCATCGACTTCCCAAACTTGCCTTCTCTAACGAATACTTTCTTCTCCCCTCTGTGCCCCTCCCCCTCCCCTTCCCCCTTTCCCCTTTTCCCCGCGCTGCAGCCACCGCCTGGAGCAGCTGAAGGCGGCCATTCCGCTGTGCAATCCGCGCATCACCACGGAGACGCTGCTGTGCGAGACGCTGACGTACATTGACGCACTAAAGGCCAAAATCCGCAACTTGCAGGCCGAGAAGGCCAACCTGCTCGAGCACGTGCTGACTCTGTAACAAGCAGTGAAACCAGTGGTGTGACCAGCGGTGTAACCAGCAGCGTAACCAGCAGTGTAACGGGTGTCGTGTGACTCTTTTTTTTTCTGGCGCTGCCCGGGCAACAGTTGGATGGGTCGAGGCCTCCAGCAGTTTGTTTCAGCAGCCCACGTTCTGTGTGGGACAGCCAGCAGCAGCAGCAGCAGCAGCAGCAGCAGCCAGCAACAGCGTAAGGATGGATGGACAATCAGCAGCAGTAGCAGCAGCAGCGGCACATGCTGCTCTGTGGCTAGAATGATGGATAGATGGATGGGCGGATGGATGGTTTGTTTTGCTCTTCAGCTGCCCCTGCATCCTCCAATTTAATTTGATGGCCTTTTTTTTCCTGAGTCAGCTACAGGGTCCAGGTGTCTCCTGCGCCCATTCAGCCGACTCTAGAGCATCGCCATTGCAACCACCATCCACTATCACCACCGTCCACTATCACCACCGTCCACTATCACCACCGTCCACTATCACCACCTTAACCATCACCAACCCCATCGCCAGCAGCAGCATCGCCAGGACCACCAGCATCATACCACTCCTCACTCCTATCCTACTACTTCCCGTCGTTCCCTCTGCGTCATGACAGCGTTCTCACTGTTGGCTATGGTTCCATCCTGCCCACTTTTGCCGACAGCAGTCATCACTCTTTTTGTTGACTCCACAGGTTTCTGTCCAGCGACTGCGGCTCATCACGCCGCCCCCACTAAGAGTTTTGAGCCACCTTAAAACTCGCAATTCATCTTTGAGTCGACTAACAACTATTTTCCTGGCAACGGCTCTTCACCCCACTTTTGGCTGGATCCAGCGGTCCCAACCCTGGGCCAGTCACCCCATCCTCCTTCGTTCATCTGCTGGCTGGATGCTGGCTGTGCTACTTGCTGGCTGCTGACTTGCTGCTATCTGGCTTCTGCTGACTCATCTGGCTAGCAGCTCTTCACCCCACTTTTAGCAGGACGCACCGGCTCTAATCCTGGTCCAGTCACCCCGTCCTCCCTCCATTCCTCTTTTCTCTCCTCGCTGCAAGGCTGTGCTACTGGCTGGCTGCTAACTGGCTTCTGAATGGCTCTAGTGAAGTATGCTGCTTACACAGCCTTTTTCAGCGCGACCACTCTGCTTTTCCGCCTGTTGAGGCTTGTGTTTGTTCCTCTGTTGCGGCCTTATTTGTAATGCTTGGTTTGCAATGCTCAGTTTGCAGTATTGGTAAATCTGTTTCCAGTGGGGTTTCCTAAAGTCTTGAGCAGAGAGATGGAGAAAAGGGAAAGGGTGAGCACGCAAAAATCAATGGGCATAGAAAACAAGTAATGATCAAATGTGGTGATATTTTTTCGGTGCCACTAAAAAACTGTGAGCTGGGGCAAGGAGATCATGCTAAATGAGATGAAGCTCATGTGAACAATCATGCTAGCAGACGCGCAACTGTGGTGCGGTGCAGCACAGTACGGTGGAACATGGTGAGATACAGTGCCATGTGGGAAGGCATCGTAAGTAAGTTGTGCAATTTGCACCCTCTGATATGGCTTGGACTTGAGAATACTGAATAAAACCAAGAGGCCCAAGGAGTGATCACCTTGCACTCTAGACACGGCCAGTGACAGAGCCAGCCACCTTCCCCTCCCAAACGCACAACTGGCCGTCAAACCCTCCTGACAGCAGCAGCAGTGAGGCTGCATGGTCATCCCTCCACCCACTGCTGCCATGGCCCGTGGTGACTTCAGTAGCAACAGCAGCAGCAGCAGCAGCATCGGAAAGAGCAAAGGCTAGAGCAGTGCATGGCCCTTGAATGTGTGACTGCGGATGAGCATGTGAGAGTCGTCTCCATGGGGTGATGCTGACGTCAGCGGCATACCCATGCATGTGCCATAGCTGGTGGGATGATGAGGCATGGCAGGGTGTGCAGGGGGAGATAGGGCTTTAATTGATGTGTGCAGAGATGGGTGAATAGCTTGTGAATGTTCCGGAAGGACGACCTACTGGCCTAATAGCACAAGAGTAACGAGTACAGCCATGACAAAGTGCTTTGGACATACATGATAACTTATTAAAAAAGACAGCATAATCCACACCACCACACCCCGCACCACCACACCCCACACCACCACATATCCACTGCACCACACCCCACAGCACCACACCCCACAGCACCACACCCCACAGCACCACACCCCACAGCACCGCACATCCGTCCATACCATGATGGAGCCATCCGCAGCGCCTGCAGCGAGGAGCGGGCGGCACACTGCCAGCGACAGCAGCGCGGGCGGCGGAGACAAAGCATCCGTGGTGGTGGTGGTGGTGGTGGCACTGCTGGTAGCTGTCACAGGCATGGCATGGGTGGGAGTCAGGAGCACGATGCTGCTACTGCCATGCCACACCTCTACCCGCCCATCCTCCCTCGCGCACAGAATCAAATCCCCCTCCTCATCCACCACCACTGCTCGCACACTCACACTCGCACCCACACTCACTCCCAAACTCGCACCCATCCCCTGACCCCCCATCCCTGGTCCTTGCCCCATGCCTGTGCTGCTTCCGAGAGCTCTTGTGCTGGCATTGGGGCTGCTACAAACGAGGACGGCCATAGGGGAGTGGTCCGGGCGCCACCAGAGACGAACGGTGCCGTCCCACGATCCGCTGACAGCCACCTGAGAATCCACCTGAAGGGAGGAGACAGGCGCTGTGTGCCCCTCCATACGAGCTAGTAGGGAGTAGGAGCCCTGGGGGGGATGGGTGGGAAAAGGGAGATTGGAAGAAGAGGGGGGAAGTGGGGGAAGAGGGGGAAAGGGGAAACGGGGGAAAGGGAAAGTGGGTGGGGAGGACAAGAAAGGGGCAACGAGGGGAGGAGGAGGAGGAGGAGGGCAAGGGAGGTGGATCAAGGGAGGGGAGCAATGGACAACAGGGATCGATATGTGCTGCACAAGAGAGGATGCCACGAATGCAAAAACAAAAACGGGAGAAGATAAGGAAAAATGGAGGAAGGGGAAACATCGAGAAAGGATGAGGGGGGACACAGGAAATATGGAGGAAGGTGGGGAGGGGGGGGGGGGAGGAGGGGCAGATGAGAAGGGACGAACGAAATGAGGGAAAGAAATAAACAATTGAACCAACTCATTTATACCAACTCACATCAGCATTGGGGGCCCAGGCCTTGACAGTGCGGTCGCCACTTCCACTGTACACTACATACTCGTTACAGTCACCAGCTGCTGCTGCTGCGCCACCATCATCATCGTTATAATCACCCGGTTGTGGCGCAGCCAATGACAGCACACCTGAGTATCGCCAGTCCTTCTCCTCGCTCCATGTGGTAACCAGACACGGGGCGGGTACGGGTGCTGTAACCGATGTGGTAACCAGATGTGGCGCAGGTACAGGTGCAGTGACCGATGTGGTAACCAGATGAGGGGTGGATGTGGGATGGGTTGGGTTGGTGGGGAGAGGAGGTGCTGAGGGAACTAGAAACGAGGGGCAGGAAGGGAGAGGAGGGGTGGAAGGAAGGGATGAGGAGACAGTAGGTGGGAGGAAAGGGTGGGTGGGAGCCAAAGCAGGAGGATGAGAGTGATGATGAGAATGATGGGGAGGAGGAAGAGAGTGAGAGAGGTCCCACACATGGAAAGACCCTCCATAGTCTCCGCACACGAGCAAATGGCCGTAGTTGATAGGTGTGCTGGCGCCACGCGGCGCGGCAGTATTGGCGAGAGTGAGAGAGGTGATGCGATGGGCGGGGCCTGAGAGCGTGTGGAGAAGAGAAGCATCCTGGAAGGTGCACAGATGGAAACAGAGTGCGGGAGGGGGAGCGGGGGTGTGGGGGCGGGGGAGGGGAGAGAGAGGGGGGAATATGCATGGAATGACAACACAAATTGGGAGGGAAGGGCCATCATGCATACTTGTACAGTGAGGGAGCACATGACATGCACCATGCGCACGAGCAATTTTTCAGAATTCTCAAGAACCGAAATCAGCATGGAATGGCAACACATACCAGCAGATGCCACCGTGCATGCACATACGGAGAGGGACCACATGGGCACATGAAATGGAATGACAACACATACCGAGAGGGACCACATGCGCACGTGAAATAGCAGCACATACCGAGAGGGACCACATGCGCACGTGAAATAGCAGCACATACCGAGAGGGACCACATGCGCACGTGAAATAGCAGCACATACCGAGAGGGACCACATGCGCACGTGAAATAGCAGCACATACCGAGAGGGACCACATGCGCACGTGAAATAGCAGCACATACCGAGAGGGACCACATGCGCACGTGAAATAGCAGCACATACCGAGAGGGACCACATGCGCACGTGAAATAGCAGCACATACCGAGAGGGACCACATGCGCACGTGAAATAGCAGCACATACCGAGAGGGACCACATGCGCACGTGAAATAGCAGCACATACCGAGAGGGACCACATGCGCACGTGAAATAGCAGCACATACCGAGAGGGACCACATGCGCACGTGAAATAGCAGCACATACCGAGAGGGACCACATGCGCACGTGAAATAGCAGCACATACCGAGAGGGACCACATGCGCACGTGAAATGGCAGCACATACCGAGAGGGACCACATGCGCACGTGAAATAGCAGCACATACCGAGAGGGACCACATGCGCACGTGAAATAGCAGCACATACCGAGAGGGACCACATGCGCACGTGAAATAGCAGCACATACCGAGAGGGACCACATGCGCACGTGAAATAGCAGCACATACCGAGAGGGACCACATGCGCACGTGAAATAGCAGCACATACCGAGAGGGACCACATGCGCACGTGAAATAGCAGCACATACCGAGAGGGACCACATGCGCACGTGAAATAGCAGCACATACCGAGAGGGACCACATGCGCACGTGAAATAGCAGCACATACCGAGAGGGACCACATGCGCACGTGAAATAGCAGCACATACCGAGAGGGACCACATGCGCACGTGAAATAGCAGCACATACCGAGAGGGACCACATGCGCACGTGAAATGGCAGCACATACCGAGAGGGACCACATGCGCACGTGAAATAGCAGCACATACCGAGAGGGACCACATGCGCACGTGAAATAGCAGCACATACCGAGAGGGACCACATGCGCACGTGAAATAGCAGCACATACCGAGAGGGACCACATGCGCACGTGAAATAGCAGCACATACCGAGAGGGACCACATGCGCACGTGAAATGGCAGCACATACCGAGAGGGACCACATGCGCACGTGAAATGGCAGCACATACCGAGAGGGACCACATGCGCACGTGAAATAGCAGCACATACCGAGAGGGACCACATGCGCACGTGAAATAGCAGCACATACCGAGAGGGACCACATGCGCACGTGAAATAGCAGCACATACCGAGAGGGACCACATGCGCACGTGAAATAGCAGCACATACCGAGAGGGACCACATGCGCACGTGAAATAGCAGCACATACCGAGAGGGACCACATGCGCACGTGAAATGGCAGCACATACCGAGAGGGACCACATGCGCACGTGAAATGGCAGCACATACCGAGAGGGACCACATGCGCACGTGAAATAGCAGCACATACCGAGAGGGACCACATGCGCACGTGAAATGGCAGCACATACCGAGAGGGACCACATGCGCACGTGAAATAGCAGCACATACCGAGAGGGACCACATGCGCACGTGAAATAGCAGCACATACCGAGAGGGACCACATGCGCACGTGAAATAGCAGCACATACCGAGAGGGACCACATGCGCACGTGAAATAGCAGCACATACCGAGAGGGACCACATGCGCACGTGAAATAGCAGCACATACCGAGAGGGACCACATGCGCACGTGAAATAGCAGCACATACCGAGAGGGACCACATGCGCACGTGAAATAGCAGCACATACCGAGAGGGACCACATGCGCACGTGAAATAGCAGCACATACCGAGAGGGACCACATGCGCACGTGAAATAGCAGCACATACCGAGAGGGACCACATGCGCACGTGAAATAGCAGCACATACCGAGAGGGACCACATGCGCACGTGAAATGGCAGCACATACCGAGAGGGACCACATGCGCACGTGAAATAGCAGCACATACCGAGAGGGACCACATGCGCACGTGAAATAGCAGCACATACCGAGAGGGACCACATGCGCACGTGAAATAGCAGCACATACCGAGAGGGACCACATGCGCACGTGAAATAGCAGCACATACCGAGAGGGACCACATGCGCACGTGAAATAGCAGCACATACCGAGAGGGACCACATGCGCACGTGAAATAGCAGCACATACCGAGAGGGACCACATGCGCACGTGAAATAGCAGCACATACCGAGAGGGACCACATGCGCACGTGAAATAGCAGCACATACCGAGAGGGACCACATGCGCACGTGAAATAGCAGCACATACCGAGAGGGACCACATGCGCACGTGAAATAGCAGCACATACCGAGAGGGACCACATGCGCACGTGAAATGGCAGCACATACCGAGAGGGACCACATGCGCACGTGAAATAGCAGCACATACCGAGAGGGACCACATGCGCACGTGAAATAGCAGCACATACCGAGAGGGACCACATGCGCACGTGAAATGGCAGCACATACCGAGAGGGACCACATGCGCACGTGAAATGGCAGCACATACCGAGAGGGACCACATGCGCACGTGAAATAGCAGCACATACCGAGAGGGACCACATGCGCACGTGAAATAGCAGCACATACCGAGAGGGACCACATGCGCACGTGAAATAGCAGCACATACCGAGAGGGACCACATGCGCACGTGAAATAGCAGCACATACCGAGAGGGACCACATGCGCACGTGAAATAGCAGCACATACCGAGAGGGACCACATGCGCACGTGAAATGGCAGCACATACCGAGAGGGACCACATGCGCACGTGAAATGGCAGCACATACCGAGAGGGACCACATGCGCACGTGAAATGGCAGCACATACCGAGAGGGACCACATGCGCACGTGAAATAGCAGCACATACCGAGAGGGACCACATGCGCACGTGAAATAGCAGCACATACCGAGAGGGACCACATGCGCACGTGAAATAGCAGCACATACCGAGAGGGACCACATGCGCACGTGAAATAGCAGCACATACCGAGAGGGACCACATGCGCACGTGAAATAGCAGCACATACCGAGAGGGACCACATGCGCACGTGAAATGGCAGCACATACCGAGAGGGACCACATGCGCACGTGAAATGGCAGCACATACCGAGAGGGACCACATGCGCACGTGAAATAGCAGCACATACCGAGAGGGACCACATGCGCACGTGAAATGGCAGCACATACCGAGAGGGACCACATGCGCACGTGAAATAGCAGCACATACCGAGAGGGACCACATGCGCACGTGAAATAGCAGCACATACCGAGAGGGACCACATGCGCACGTGAAATAGCAGCACATACCGAGAGGGACCACATGCGCACGTGAAATGGCAGCACATACCGAGAGGGACCACATGCGCACGTGAAATGGCAGCACATACCGAGAGGGACCACATGCGCACGTGAAATAGCAGCACATACCGAGAGGGACCACATGCGCACGTGAAATGGCAGCACATACCGAGAGGGACCACATGCGCACGTGAAATAGCAGCACATACCGAGAGGGACCACATGCGCACGTGAAATAGCAGCACATACCGAGAGGGACCACATGCGCACGTGAAATGGCAGCACATACCGAGAGGGACCACATGCGCACGTGAAATGGCAGCACATACCGAGAGGGACCACATGCGCACGTGAAATAGCAGCACATACCGAGAGGGACCACATGCGCACGTGAAATGGCAGCACATACCGAGAGGGACCACATGCGCACGTGAAATAGCAGCACATACCGAGAGGGACCACATGCGCACGTGAAATAGCAGCACATACCGAGAGGGACCACATGCGCACGTGAAATGGCAGCACATACCGAGAGGGACCACATGCGCACGTGAAATGGCAGCACATACCGAGAGGGACCACATGCGCACGTGAAATAGCAGCACATACCGAGAGGGACCACATGCGCACATGAAATAGCAGCACATACCGAGAGGGACCACATGCGCGCGTGAAATGGCAGCACATACCGAGAGGGACCACATGCGCACGTGAAATAGCAGCACATACCGAGAGGGACCACATGCGCACGTGAAATGGCAGCACATACCGAGAGGGACCACATGCGCACGTGAAATGGCAGCACATACCGAGAGGGACCACATGCGCACGTGAAATGGCAGCACATACCGAGAGGGACCACATGCGCACGTGAAATGGCAGCACATACCGAGAGGGACCACATGCGCACGTGAAATGGCAGCACATACCGAGAGGGACCACATGCGCACGTGAAATGGCAGCACATACCGAGAGGGACCACATGCGCACGTGAAATGGCAGCACATACCGAGAGGGACCACATGCGCACGTGAAATGGCAGCACATACCGAGAGGGACCACATGCGCACGTGAAATGGCAGCACATACCGAGAGGGACCACATGCGCACGTGAAATGGCAGCACATACCGAGAGGGACCACATGCGCACGTGAAATAGCAGCACATACCGAGAGGGACCACATGCGCACGTGAAATGGCAGCACATACCGAGAGGGACCACATGCGCACGTGAAATGGCAGCACATACCGAGAGGGACCACATGCGCACGTGAAATGGCAGCACATACCGAGAGGGACCACATGCGCACGTGAAATAGCAGCACATACCGAGAGGGACCACATGCGCACGTGAAATGGCAGCACATACCGAGAGGGACCACATGCGCACGTGAAATGGCAGCACATACCGAGAGGGACCACATGCGCACGTGAAATGGCAGCACATACCGAGAGGGACCACATGCGCACGTGAAATGGCAGCACATACCGAGAGGGACCACATGCGCACGTGAAATGGCAGCACATACCGAGAGGGACCACATGCGCACGTGAAATGGCAGCACATACCGAGAGGGACCACATGCGCACGTGAAATGGCAGCACATACCGAGAGGGACCACATGCGCACGTGAAATGGCAGCACATACCGAGAGGGACCACATGCGCACGTGAAATAGCAGCACATACCGAGAGGGACCACATGCGCACGTGAAATGGCAGCACATACCGAGAGGGACCACATGCGCACGTGAAATGGCAGCACATACCGAGAGGGACCACATGCGCACGTGAAATGGCAGCACATACCGAGAGGGACCACATGCGCACGTGAAATGGCAGCACATACCGAGAGGGACCACATGCGCAGGTGAAATGGCAGCACATACCGAGAGGGACCACATGCGCACGTGAAATGGCAGCACATACCGAGAGGGACCACATGCGCACGTGAAATGGCAGCACATACCGAGAGGGACCACATGCGCACGTGAAATAGCAGCACATACCGAGAGGGACCACATGCGCACGTGAAATGGCAGCACATACCGAGAGGGACCACATGCGCACGTGAAATGGCAGCACATACCGAGAGGGACCACATGCGCACGTGAAATGGCAGCACATACCGAGAGGGACCACATGCGCACGTGAAATAGCAGCACATACCGAGAGGGACCACATGCGCACGTGAAATGGCAGCACATACCGAGAGGGACCACATGCGCACGTGAAATAGCAGCACATACCGAGAGGGACCACATGCGCACGTGAAATGGCAGCACATACCGAGAGGGACCACATGCGCACGTGAAATGGCAGCACATACCGAGAGGGACCACATGCGCACGTGAAATAGCAGCACATACCGAGAGGGACCACATGCGCACGTGAAATGGCAGCACATACCGAGAGGGACCACATGCGCACGTGAAATGGCAGCACATACCGAGAGGGACCACATGCGCACGTGAAATAGCAGCACATACCGAGAGGGACCACATGCGCACGTGAAATGGCAGCACATACCGAGAGGGACCACATGCGCACGTGAAATAGCAGCACATACCGAGAGGGACCACATGCGCACGTGAAATGGCAGCACATACCGAGAGGGACCACATGCGCACGTGAAATGGCAGCACATACCGAGAGGGACCATATGCGCACGTGAAATGGCAGCACATACCGAGAGGGACCACATGCGCACGTGAAATGGCAGCACATACCGAGAGGGACCACATGCGCACGTGAAATAGCAGCACATACCGAGAGGGACCACATGCGCACGTGAAATGGCAGCACATACCGAGAGGGACCACATGCGCACGTGAAATGGCAGCACATACCGAGAGGGACCATATGCGCACGTGAAATGGCAGCACATACCGAGAGGGACCACATGCGCACGTGAAATAGCAGCACATACCGAGAGGGACCACATGCGCACGTGAAATGGCAGCACATACCGAGAGGGACCACATGCGCACGTGAAATGGCAGCACATACCGAGAGGGACCACATGCGCACGTGAAATGGCAGCACATACCGAGAGGGACCACATGCGCACGTGAAATGGCAGCACATACCGAGAGGGACCACATGCGCACGTGAAATGGCAGCACATACCGAGAGGGACCACATGCGCACGTGAAATAGCAGCACATACCGAGAGGGACCACATGCGCACGTGAAATGGCAGCACATACCGAGAGGGACCACATGCGCACGTGAAATGGCAGCACATACCGAGAGGGACCACATGCGCACGTGAAATGGCAGCACATACCGAGAGGGACCACATGCGCACGTGAAATGGCAGCACATACCGAGAGGGACCACATGCGCACGTGAAATGGCAGCACATACCGAGAGGGACCACATGCGCACGTGAAATGGCAGCACATACCGAGAGGGACCACATGCGCACGTGAAATAGCAGCACATACCGAGAGGGACCACATGCGCACGTGAAATGGCAGCACATACCGAGAGGGACCACATGCGCACGTGAAATGGCAGCACATACCGAGAGGGACCACATGCGCACGTGAAATGGCAGCACATACCGAGAGGGACCACATGCGCACGTGAAATAGCAGCACATACCGAGAGGGACCACATGCGCACGTGAAATGGCAGCACATACCGAGAGGGACCACATGCGCACGTGAAATGGCAGCACATACCGAGAGGGACCACATGCGCACGTGAAATGGCAGCACATACCGAGAGGGACCACATGCGCACGTGAAATAGCAGCACATACCGAGAGGGACCACATGCGCACGTGAAATGGCAGCACATACCGAGAGGGACCACATGCGCACGTGAAATAGCAGCACATACCGAGAGGGACCACATGCGCACGTGAAATGGCAGCACATACCGAGAGGGACCACATGCGCACGTGAAATGGCAGCACATACCGAGAGGGACCACATGCGCACGTGAAATAGCAGCACATACCGAGAGGGACCACATGCGCACGTGAAATGGCAGCACATACCGAGAGGGACCACATGCGCACGTGAAATGGCAGCACATACCGAGAGGGACCACATGCGCACGTGAAATAGCAGCACATACCGAGAGGGACCACATGCGCACGTGAAATGGCAGCACATACCGAGAGGGACCACATGCGCACGTGAAATAGCAGCACATACCGAGAGGGACCACATGCGCACGTGAAATGGCAGCACATACCGAGAGGGACCACATGCGCACGTGAAATGGCAGCACATACCGAGAGGGACCACATGCGCACGTGAAATGGCAGCACATACCGAGAGGGACCACATGCGCACGTGAAATAGCAGCACATACCGAGAGGGACCACATGCGCACGTGAAATGGCAGCACATACCGAGAGGGACCACATGCGCACGTGAAATAGCAGCACATACCGAGAGGGACCACATGCGCACGTGAAATGGCAGCACATACCGAGAGGGACCACATGCGCACGTGAAATGGCAGCACATACCGAGAGGGACCACATGCGCACGTGAAATAGCAGCACATACCGAGAGGGACCACATGCGCACGTGAAATAGCAGCACATACCGAGAGGGACCACATGCGCACGTGAAATGGCAGCACATACCGAGAGGGACCACATGCGCACGTGAAATGGCAGCACATACCGAGAGGGACCACATGCGCACGTGAAATGGCAGCACATACCGAGAGGGACCACATGCGCACGTGAAATGGCAGCACATACCGAGAGGGACCACATGCGCACGGTCTTGTCAAAGGAGGCAGTGAACAGCAAAGACAAGTCGCTGGTAACCGCAACAGCCATTACGTTGTCACGATGTGCCGCCACCTCATGTAACAGCACCATCTCACTCGCACCGTCCAACGCTGATTTCGCAACACTCGATCCTGACCGCTCATCAACAGAACCTGACCCTTGATCTTCCAATCCGGATCTCTCTGGCCCATCCTTGCTCTCATCCCTGTGTGCCTCGCCCCCTTCGCTATTTTCACTCTCCTTGTTTCTTCCCTGCTGGCCCCCTGCCTCGTTATTATCACCTCCTGTATCATCTGCTCTACCCGCTTCGTCCTCAACTCTTCCTTCATTGTCACCCCCTCCGTTATGGACACCCGCTTCCTTATTGTCACACCCTCCTTCGTTATTACGCGCTTCATTAATTGCTCTATGGTCGGTGCCTGCAGATTTTCCCAGAAGCCACTCCCGTTCCGACTGATATCTCCTAAACTTGCTATCCCCGCTATTATGACAAACTGGTGCCTGTTGCGGTGTAGAGGCGTCACCACTTCTGGTGTGACTACTTTCGCGCCCCGCTACTAACCCTAATTTCGCGTGCCGAAAACTACCCCTCCTGCTAATGCTTCGAAGCCTGCTGTTCTGCCTAACGCAGCTAACGTCACTACCATTTTCCGCTTGCTTCTTAATGTCTGCGTCAGAAACGGCGGTCGTTTCAGTGCGACTCGAGCTGCGGATCGTGTGAAGCAATCTTAACAGCTCGATATTCTTGGGAAATCCGTCCACGCGTCCGTTTGCGGAGCGCGACCGTACGGAGCATTCTGGGCACCGCACGATTAATGACGTGGCGCTAGCCGCGGCTGCGGGAGGCGCGGAAGCAGCGGAAGCGGAAGCGGAAGGATACGCTGAGGGGAGAGCGGAGGCTGGACCCGAAGGGAGAATCAAGGCGTTCGAGGAAGAAGCGGAAGTACTAGCGGAGGCGGATGCGGGAAGGCTCCACGGCGCGGCGAGCGCGGCTATACACGTGGCGCAGAGAGAGTGGCCGCAGGATGTGAGCACACGCGGCACGGCAGAGTCATCATCAAATTCTGACACACATACGACGCACTCGGGCAGCAGAAGAGTCGTCATTGGGGAGGTCGACAAACCCTAGGATTGCGGAACGAATTGACTTTAGCAAATAATCAATATTCCACTTCTGTTCCCCCTCTGTGATGACGGGAAGCTGTACTCACACTTCTCCTTCGGTTGCAATCATCAAATTATCAATAAGAATGGAACACCGAGCAACCCTACTTAGTTGACATAAAATATACAACAGACACCTTTAGAGATGGCATGTGCCTACAAGCTACGCGAGACGTTCTATTCGATTTGCAAGCGTTTTACATCCTGACAGTGACAACGCCAGACCGTACGTCGGTCCACCTGGTACGTGCCGCCACGCCACCGCCTAAAATGGCGTGAATTCGCTGAATCTGGACCCGCATCGCCTGAAGAAAAATCAGACGGAAATGGAGAACGGAGTTAGCGGGTATTTCATAAAACCCCTTTCGGAACGCAGCTACACGTCTGATGGAAATTAGGGTTTCAACGCCGAAGAAACAAATCATCAGGGTAAGGTATAATTTACCTGGCGAGGGTTTCTTGGGCGCGTGCAGGCTCCGCACTTGAGGCCGGAATCATCGAACACGTCCGTGCAGCGCGAGCAGAGCCCCGGGCACCGCGGCTGCTCGCAGTGCTTCAAACAGGATATGCGACCGCACCCGCACTGCGACACGTCGAGTTGTCGCACGTGCGACCGGATTGCGTCCACCTCTGCCACCGTGGCGCATTTACAACCGTCCATTCGGAAGCTCTGGATGACAGATGAAGCTGGTGCTGACGCTGGTGCTGCAGAACGTTGATAACCATACCGATTATAAACTATTGCTGGTGCTGGTGCCAAGGAGGTGGAGGCGGAGGGTTGCGATGGCGAAATGGCCTGAAGGAAGGCCAGGATGTCGCAGCCTTTCAAGTTGCAGCAATGGTCGACCGAAATCTCCGTGACGGTGGGAGCAAGTGCCTTGGTCTGCAAATTGAGAAGGACAGCAGGACGAAGAGCGAAGCACAACGTCAGATTTTTATGGTTTAGTTGTTCCACAATTTCACAATGCTAACTATTTTCATTGCGGATTGGATTGCCACAAATTGTCCCGTTACGTGATAACAAGAGAAAGACATCATGGAATCCGGTCAACTTACACGAATGATGTTGATGAGCGACTTTCCAGTAATCCCGGAACCAGAGAGCTGGAGAGAATCGACGTTTCCTGCACCCGCGCGTCGCAGCATGACGTTGAGTTCGTAGTCCCAAACCCGGTGAGCCATCTTCCGAGGAATGTCAATTGACTGCCATAGGGACGAGTCGCTCCCTGTTCGAAACCACTCCTTGTTGACACAGAGAATGCGGGCCCGCGAGGGCATGTCCAGACGGGAGAAAATCGAGAGTAGTATGTCTCGAGGAAGCTCCGAGGCTTTTGAGGATGTTTCGGGCATGGTTGAATCATTTGGCGTGGTGTACGAGAAAGCAGAGTAATCCATGGCTGAAATTTATGTGTGCTTAGTCAATTGCTCGCTGATAAAGACTGAGAGCGAAGTCTTACGGTTCTAATGCAAGTCGTGGGCGGAAAGAAATTCGAATACCTAGGAGTGAACGAAGGAAGTTCTGAATGAGTGAGAGCTTGAAGCTGACAGTTCTATCTCTGACGCCACTTCAAATAGTGTTCGGTGAGTCACACAGATCGGTGGAGCAATGGCAACTCACATAGCGTTCAGTGAGTCACACAGATCGGTGGAGCAATGGCAACTCACATTCGTGGGGAATCGGATAGGGTAGAAGCACCAGCTGGAGATGTTTGGGGTGAACAGGTTCTGGAGGCGGGAAGGAAAGGAGGGGAGAGAATTGCTCCAGGGCCTTGTTTATTGATTCTCTCTTGCCCACGTGTCCCGAATTGCTCGAGTGGCCACGCAAGGGCATTTTCGAGGTGTTTGTTTTCCCCGGCACATTACCATACAAGGGTTTGTACCCCCGAGATTCCTCGTTCGCACTAGTCTCATCACGTGGTAGTGTTTCGTACAATTCCCCACCCGAAAATTTCGGGTGAGTGGCGGGCGCGAACTTTGCCCACACACTGTACACAAAACCGACAAAAATGCACGACCAACAGTAGATGCGCGGTCATTTTCGGCCCAATGCGCGACCAATGAGCGCGCGGTCAAACAAATTCGTAACCAATGACCGCTCAAGCATATAAATCCGCGATCATAAGCCTCAATTGACCAACATTAAACCGCAACAGCCCTAACGACCGCGAATGATTCGCCAATAATATGCACGGTGCAATTGTTGGCATTACGCGTCCAATCAGGTGCCATCATTAAGGATTGCGACCATATTTGACAGCGCAAATGAAACTCAATTTACTATATAATCTCACCAATCATATGCTAAAAACACTCGCACAAACATAAACTCAGGCCAATTATGTTCAAATCAAAAGCTCAATTTAGTTTGGTACGCCTGTATCATCTTCCCGCGCATTATGATTTGAAACATATGCTACAGATCGCTCAGATCGTACCTCGACAAATGACCGGGCATAAATCACGTGCATATGACCGGACATAATACGCGTGCATATGCCTGGTCAAATTGCACGGGGTTATGACCGGTCATTTCCGAATTGCATTTGATTAGTCCATGCATACGAGCGGTTCATATGCAATCGAGCTTATTTGACAGATATACAAATACCGTATGGCCCCGGATATAGGCGCCGTCCGATTAAGGGCGCCGGCGCTTCTATCTGGAGCATGGCGCTTATGGCCGGAAGTCGATTATAAGCGCCCCCCCTCTAGTGGGTGTACTTATTATAAGCGCACCTTTTCACGTTGTGGAGAACTCATTACAAAAAAAACATCTCTAATTAACACTAAACATGAGCATGCTAACTTTACACCTACAACATCATCACTGACATTTTTATCTAGGTACATATTGCAAAGTTTAGCATCTCTACCTAGAAAATCTACTCCTCCTCGTCGGATTCTGGCTCCTGGCAGTTGTTGCCAAAGAAGCCATCGGCGATGATAGAGTCATCGACATCCACCTCCGCGGTCAGCTGGCTCCGCCTGTGCGCCATGGCGAGGCCGTCCTCACTGCCGTCAAGCGCGTTGCTGATGCCACAGGTGAGGAAGGCGCGCTTGATGAGGTCGGCGGGCACTGCTTTCCAAGCCCGTGAGATCCACCTCACGACCACCTCTGGGGGTGGCTTCTTCAAGTTCCCTGTACCAACAGAATCACATGAAATGAGACGGTAGTTAGCGCAACAAAAGGGGGGAAAATCTTCTACGGTAGTCTAGGGACTCGCGTGGCTACCGTACCTGCTTTGGTTAGCTGTTCTTGGCCTTCTTCCTGAAACCACTTCTGATACTGCTGGCGAACGCTCGCCTTAAAGCTCTTGTTGATGGAGACGTCGAGGGGTTGTACCTCCGCCGTGCAGCCAGACGGGATGATCGCCGGCACGCAGTTGAGCTCGCGAAACTTCTCCTTAACGGCATCAGTGAGGTGACCGCGGTACGAGTCCAGTACGACCATCGAGCTCCGCGCATGCCTCCCGAACCCAGGCTTTAGAAATGGCTTGACGCACTCCTCAAGCCATTGTATGACGCCGTTGGCGTCCATCCAGCCGTTCTCGTGACACGACACGACCACATCTGCATAACAAACAAGCTTCTGTAAGTCTCTTTAAAAACAAAGACCGGTGTAAAGCAAACAAACAAGAATCCTGACTCACCCGACGGGAACACCCCTTTCGGCACGGTCTTCCGCTTGAAAAAAACCCACGGCCTCAGCTTCATCCCGTCCGCCGTGCACGCCAACATCACGGTCACGCGCTCCTTCTGGTACCCTGCGCTCCTGATGGGCACCGACCGAACACCGGTTTGATCGACGGTAGTGGTGGCGGGCATCTCCAGCCACAGCGGCGTCTGGTCGGCGTTGATAATCCACGTCGTCTCGATGCCGCGCTCCCGACGCTTGTCACGGACGAATTGCAAGAAGTTCTTGCATTGCTCCGCGACATCTGCGGTTGAGCACAGTTACGGTTAGTGAGTAACAAGTGCATACACATGGCATAGAGAATAAAAATGATTCTTACGGGCGGCGGTTTTCTGGGCGACCTTCGTCTTCATTCGCACGCTGAGATTCCACCGCCGACGGAACCGGTCCGACCACCGTTGGCTCCCTTTCCACTTCACGAGGGGGTAGAGAATCTTCATGAACTCCCGGGACCACTCCTGCAGGCGGCCGACGGACACCGCGGTTCCCTTGCGTCGCCAGTCGAGCAGTCGCTCATACACCTTAATCTCCATCGGGCGGTACCACGACGCCCTGCCGCGACCGTGCATGCGGCACCTGGCAGAGTGGGCTTCCTTGAGGAAATCAGCGGCACGCTTCCAGTTGGCGAGGCACTTGCGGTGGATGCCACTCTCGCGAGCCAGAGCGCGCACCGACACCGCCAAATCCAGCTGCGCGACCCACTTCAACTTCTCGGCGGCAGTATAGGCCTGACGCTTATGGTCGTTGGGCTTGTGCCTGGGAGAGGGGGGGCGAGAATCACGGTTCTGTGAAGAAGGGTGAGGTCGCTTACGATTACGTGGAGGATAAGTTGGTATCGGGAGTTTCTCGGGGAGGCCATCGCGTGACCAGTATTCGACGCCGTCGTCGTCGTCACCGCCCGGCGCACCCTCGGGAAACACATCCTCAGCAGTGCCGGCCTCAGTAGCGGCCTCGGTGTCGGCCTCAGTGCGCCAACCGTCCTCGGCGTCTTGCACATCGTCATCAGCGCCGACTGCAGATTCATCCCACGGGAAATCTTCTGGCTGGCCCCAACGTGGTGCTGGCGCTGGAGCGGGTACGTCAACATCGGGGCCCTTGTCATAATCCGGTTCCGACAGATACTCGTCGAACGCCGATGGGAGTAGGAGCGTGAGCACGGGGTGGTTGTCGATATGAGGGGCCACCGGACACGGAGGAACAGGAGGAACAGGAGGAGCAGGGGGAGTCGGAGGCACTGGAGGAGCCGGAGGAGCAGGCGGCGCAGGAGGCTGTGGTGGCTCTGGAGGGTCTGGAGGTATGCGGCTATACCACCCGTCGGATGTAACACGGTACGACTAGAAGGTTTTTTCTTGAAGAGAAAATGAGTGCCTGTGAATTCCGCCATGGCTTCCGCAGCCAGGCGGGCGAGAAAATGAAGACTGAATAAAAAACTGCAACCCTGGGTGTTGAAATGGGAGATTGAAGGGGACCCCTTCTGGTTTGCGGCTCGGGGTCCTCGTCGATGAGAGACGAGTACACCCCTGCCCCAACCCGCAGAGGAGGGTTGGGGGCACCATCCATGCTGCGCTGGCACGGCAGATTCCATCACGTTCTGGATGGTTCTGCCGAGATGCTCCTGCCTGGCAGCGCATGCCAACCTGATTGGGCCGCACGGCAGGTTTTGCATCAGCGCTGGCAGGTGCGTTGCACCGGGACGGGTTTTGTGCGGTGGGAAATCGAACCGCGGCAAGTTTCGACGTCATTCCATGCACGACCCCGCGTGCATGGTACAGTGCTGTACTCGCCTTCTCCACGGCTTCAGAATGATATCCTTTACAGAGAAATTCATTTTTGCCTTTATAAAAGCGCCGGCGCTTATGGCCGTTACTCAATTACAAGCGCCCCCCTTAAAAAATAATAATTTATTATAAGCGCATATGCGCTACTATCCGGGGTATTACGGTATGACCGGTCATCTTTGGCTTGCGTTTGATTGGTCCGCGCATATGAGCGTCATATGCGTATGGGCGTTATTCTATCTTGCGCAATTGACATGTTATGATATGCGCATTTCAACAGTGAACATTTCGGTAAGTTCGGCTTTGCGGTTACATCGCAACCCTAACGATCCGCGCCTCAGTACAATGGGCAAAATACAAATAAACCCTCGTAACATCACAAATTTACAAACGAAATACGGTAACCATCTAATAGCGCGTGAGGTACGAAGCTCAACCCAAACACGGGCACCAACTAAACTACGTCATGTGCCAGACACATTCCTCTCGATATGTCAGTCAGAACGCTAAGTTAGGGATCGATAACTCCTAGAGTGGACACTAGAACTTATACCGTTTTAGGCCTCTAGCACCCCTTCCTATCACTAACTGCATACTTACATGATACTTCCGTTTTCGGGTGGGGAATTGTACGAAACACTATCACGGGATGAGACTCGTGCGAACAAGGAATTTTGGGGGTACAAACCCTTGTAGTGTAATGTGCAGGGGAAAAAACACCTCGAAAATGCCCTGGCGTGGCCACTCGAGCAATTATCACTGAATTGGATGGCCACGCGAGCAATTCGGGGACACGTGGGCAAGAGCGAATCACCAAACAAGGCCCTGGAGCAATTCTCTCGAAGGAGGAAGCAAGGAACTCGAGACGGGGGAAAGACGAGGTTTGGGTTGGAGGCTGTGTGGGGCAAGTGGAAAACAATTGACGCGCATTTCAGAGGGGGATGTCAGTGAGGGCCGCTGGGCTTTTGAGGCAGAACAGCAGCAGCGCACATGGTGCGGGCACTGTAGCAGGGTAGAGGAATGATGTGAGTGGAGAGGAAAGCAGAATCGAGTCGAGACGCGGTTATGTGTTGCGTGGAAGGGTTTCTGGATATGAACAGTATTTGAGCTGTAAAATATCCAGACTGGCATAGGTTACCCTAAGCAGGCGAAACTCAATATCAATAGTCGCTCGCAACCTTACAGCCGACGACTCGTTTCGCGAACTCGCCAGTTTAGCCACGTCATCACGAGCAAAGCCCCAGCGAAGATCTAGAAAGCATGGTTGGATCCGTGGGATGCACTTTTCTGAGGACTTTTGGATCGAGTTGTTGTATTCGAATCTCGAGTTCTCAATGCGAATCAAAAGCTGCAGCATGTGTTGGCAAGAACGAGCTTTCGCCAGTGGCCCAAGCCAAGCCAACCCAAGTCCTGTCCTTCCCCCCCTGCATGCGCATAGCTGTGCGGCGCTGTGCGCTGTCACATGATCAACAGTTCATCACATGCCAACACACCATAGAATGAGCAACAGCACCAAACGAAACTTTTCTTCCTTTCAACCAACCAGCCAATGCAGGCAAAACATTTCGGTGATGGAGGATGTGTCGATGATCTGTGTGGGGGTGGATGAAGAAAACTCAACGCGTTATGAGCCGATGATGTGATAATAACCTATAAGGCTACTCTTGTGTACCAGCAAACTTAAATGGATTTACTAGCTCAGTATTTTGTTCTGCAATGTCTTGGTTGCTCCAAACTCACCAAGGCTGTGAGCAACGCATGTAGCCAGCAATAAGTTATTTCAGGGGTCCCTCTTTGACCTAGTCCACCCCAATGATGGACTGTGACCAGAGCTTACTTTTCACTCTCCACTAATATGATTTTCAGGGTTGTTTAGTTAGAACTTAGAAGTTTCATATTGCTTCATTCTGCCTATCTGCAACCTTTGATCATGACGCTCCAGTCTCTGTGCCGGCCTCCTAGTTCTATAGAGACAGCCTGAAATAGGAATCGTTTTATGAAGCATACACGAAGTTATGGTACCTAGCTCTACATGGAGTTGAACACGCTCATATCTGGATGACTTGGGCAAAGCTACAAACAAGCCATTATCTACTTAATGGGGGCTGGTACGTTGGGCAAAACAACTCTCACGTGGCCCCTTCCCACCTCGCCAAGGCTTGATCTAAGTCGAGCAAACGGATCAGAAGACACGAGATTTGTCCCCGTGCTGCCAGGCATTGACATGGTACCCGTGCGATTTTGGCGAGTCAATGCATCAACAATCCCGGCCAGCCATTCTGGTTCTCCTGCCGTCTGGTTGCCTGTCCTCGCTGCAATCTCTGCTGCTGCAGCCGCTGCAAACATGGCACGTGCATGCGAGGGAGAGAGGATCGGAGTGACAGGGAGACCGGCTGTGTCTGTGGCTGAAGGAACAGCACCAGCCGCTCTGCTCTCCCCCACCGTAGAAGACCCATGGCTGCTGCTGCTTCCGCTGCTGTTGCTTCGGCTAAACAATACGCTGCTCCCTGTGACAAAACTGCTCTGTGCCGCACTGATGTCTCGACTCCCACCCTTCACAACTATCCGCTGCAGCTTCGGCGCGTGCCAAGCAAGGTTGGCCACAGTCACAGGGTCATAGTCACACCCGTTCAATACAAGCACCTCCAGACTAGTCAATCTCTCCCCTTCCGCCGGCTGCCCCTGCGAACCGAAACCAAGCGAGGCAGCAGCCGTTTCGGACTTATCCTCCAGTTTGCCGCCCACAAGCTCGAGGCTCTTGAGTGCGCCGCATTTCCGGAGCGCCAGAAGGTCGGCGAACTGGAGCGCTCCGCAGTGGAGTCGCAGCGACGACAGGCGACGCCATGCGATCGCCATCAGGCACGTCGTCTGCGTAGTCATGCTGTTCGGGAGCACGCACGAGAAGTGCCGGATCCCGCGAAACGCGGTCGTGAGAAACCACATGAGTCGCGACTCCAGGAGGCTCGCGAACGCGGACCCCGTGCTCGCGGCGGGAGGGGTAATAACGACGCCGTTTCCTCCGCCGTTGCCTGCGCCGTTTCCTGCGCCGGTTCTCGCGGAGTTTGCGGCTGGGGCTGCCGCGGAAGCGCGCGAGGAAAGAAGCTCTATTTTCGAGACGTTGCGACAGTGGAGCGAGATGAGCCATAGGAGGTTGCAAATCGATGAATCCGCGTTCCCGCGAGGGGCGCCGTTTCCGGCTGCGGCTGCAGCGGCGGCGGCGGGTCCCGGAGCCGCGGCTACCGCCGCCGCGGCGATCGAATCGCAGTCTAGGACGACGCGGCGCAGCGACGAGGCGCACGCGACAATGATGGGATTAAGAACGTGGAGCTCGCACCGCGGGTCGTCAATGAAGAGGTCCGTGAGGCTCCTGCAACGCGGTGCGAGCTTTGCCATACCAGGGTGCATGGCACCGGAGCCGATGCGAAGCTTCGTCCAAAATTGCCGGCTGTAGCAGAGGTTCTTCCACGTCACGCTGACGCAAGCAAGCCGGCTGAGATCCCACGCCGTCGGCCGCATCGCCTGGAGAATCTGTCGCAGAATGTCGTCGCCGAGATCCGAAAGCGACGGCGTAGATGACGCCACGTGGCAAGGATCCGGAGCATGGTTACGAGAAGCCGTCATTGGGTCTTGCATCGAGTCGGAAAGCGGAAAAAGCAGGGGCGGTAACCGCTCGGTGGAACTTGAGCTGCTCGATCCAGAAAACGTCTGCGACGTGGGCGACGTGAGCGACGACCTAGTAATGTCGGGCGAGCAGTGGCTGGGTGACGCTTCCGAAGCGTCGATCTGCTGCCCGAACAGTCGCAGCCTCTTGGCGGATGGGAGACGGAGCAAAGGGGCTTCGTGCGGCTGCTGCGACGCCATGAATTGCGGAGCCATCGTGTGGGGACTGCAGGGGGGTTGCGCCATAACGGGGCGCTTCTGCGAGCGAGTATCACACAGCTACAACTAACTCTGGTAAGCTGATCACTTGCGCAGGTGAGTGATAGAGGCTTTGCGATTTCAGAATGGAAATGGAACTTCACGACAGCGGATAATGTAGAGCAGAAAGAAGAAGGCGTGGCGCTTCGCAGGTTGCTTGCCAATCTGCTAAACCAGGACAGAGAGCAGAGCTCGAATATTTGAGACTGCCGCTTTGCGGATCTTTGACAGTACCCTAGATACTGGGTTTACTGTACCCGAATAAGAGCAGCATGCGCAAAGCAGAGCAGAGAACCGCGTGGAAGGGCTGAAAATGCGTAAATTCCAACAGCAAAAAAGCACATGCGGATTTGGTTACACGCGTACGCGCTTTGCGCTTGCACGGGCGATGGCATTCTGGCAGGATCATGCTGTGAAGAGCCAAAAATGATAGACTGCGAAAATCCGAGGGCCGAGCATTTTCGCCGATTTCTTCGCAGCTGTGGAAATTTTGGTGGTGTGTCCTGTGTGTTGGTCTCTGCTAAGTAAAACTCGTGCGACGTTTCGCCTATTCGCACAGTACGGATAATATGGTCCTTCACTCCTTCGCTCACTGTGGATGACTAGCGATTTATTCGCCGTTTCGCCGATACGTCCTATCTGAAGATCTCATTGCGCTCACTGTCGAAATCCAAACTCACTTTCTTTTCGCCACATGTCGCAGACAGTGAACAAAAAATATTTCACTCCCCGTCGCTTGGACCTTCTCGTCAACTTTGAGGTCAACTCAAGCACACAACGCGTTAGACCCCAAAGGAAACGCGGGAGAGCTGCCCTCCCCGAACGCGGGCGAGCTGTTTCCCCCAATGGCAGTGCAATTGCAAAGTGCAATTGCGTGATGCATCCGCTCTGGTCCGGATAGCTGGGATATCAGGGTTGCGCGGGCCGAAGTTTTCCAGCCGCATGACAACCAGGGTTGACTTCTGCAGCAAAATCGTGCAGTCAAGGAGAACGCGGAAGCGTCGCTGACCAGTAACGCGGTTTAGATCAGAGATCACGTGAAAACAGTTGACCAGGTTTTCGATTGGGTAAGACGGACATGTGCTTCTCATTTCCATCAATTACTGCCCATACACTTGTCACTGCTCAAAGAATGAGTAATTTTACATTATCCTGAAAACATTTAGTTTCCTGATCTACAACAGGACACCACAACACAACACAACACAACACCACCATCACTTCGCATCCAAAATGTCTTTGACGATTTCATCAATACTATTGCTTGCCAAGATGCATAAGCACGACATGGTTAAGCACAACATCAACACACCTCAAGCACCAGGCGTTGCTCTTGAGCTCGTAGAGCTCATGCTACGGTAGTTTAATACATGAGCCGTGTCATATGCTACAACAGGGTGCTTTCACCTCACCTAGTCATCCATGGGTCAATACAGCGACCAGCAGAATTGCCATATCTTTTAAGTCATACTCATGACACATGCGTCAACATACTCAAGACACCATGGGTTCTGGTTGTTGCTGCTGCTGCTGCTGTTGTTGCTGCTGCCGTGCAGCTTCCACCAAGTCTCTCAGAAGCTTACCGCTGGTCCAGCTACCGCCCAGGCTTTTCCGACCAATGCCACCGTTCCCAGCCCTCATCATTGTCACAAATTCGTTGTAGTCAATCTGCCCATCCTGCTCCAGACATGACAGCCAAAGCAGAAAGCCAAGCATAAATGCAAATGTAAGTAAGTTTGCTGAAAGTGCAGGATCAGGCTGTATATTAGTGCATACAAGTGACGGAAGTGCATACACTGTTAGAGGGTACAGCGTTGGAGCTTACATTGATGGTGCATCCATTAGTAGTGCTTACATTGTTAGTGTCGACGTCGCGCATCGTCTCTTCACTACAGTCCTCGTCAATGCTGTACTCTCTACAAGCATGTTTTGAGAGGTCTCAGAACTACTGTTAGTGTTCCGATGTTAGTGCTTACATTGTTAGTGTCGACGTCACGCATCGTTTCAACGATGCAGTCCTCGTCAATGCTGTACTCCCTACAAGCATGCTGCAGCTCATCCACTGTAATGAATCCCGAGCTGTCCTTGTCAAAATGCGAAAATGCCGCAAACAGCGTCTCCTCCCGCTCGATCTTGTTCAAATGCATCGTGGCCGCTAGAAACTCTCCATAGTCAATCATGCCATTGCCGTCAAAGTCAGCCTGGTAGGGAGGAGAGGAAGGGGAAAAAGGTGACAAGGGATTGAATGAAATTCCCTCTAGTCTCTTCTCACACAGTATTTTGTTCCGATGCATCGTGGCCGCTAGCAGCTCTCCATAGTCAACCATGCCGTTGCCGTCAAAGTCAGCCTGATGGGGAGGCGCAAGAGCGTGAAATGTGAGAGGGGGTTGTTGAACGGATGGAGCCTCCTCTCGACTCCTCTCACGCTCCAACTATCTTGCTCAAATGCATCGTGGCCAAGAGAACTCTCCATAGTCAATCACTCATGCCCTTGCCGTCAAAGTCGCCTTGCTCGGGTTGAGAGTATAGCGAAGGACATGCGTGAAGGCAACGACAAGAGTCTCCTCCCTCTCCAGATCCCCAGCAACAGAGACTCACCGCGTCCATCAGCTCCTACACCCACACAACCTCCCCCCCTCTCCTCTGCCCCCTCTGACTCACCGCGTCCATGAGCTCCTGCACCTCGCTGTCCTGCATGTTGGCCCCAATGCGCTGCAGCCCTTAGCTACCCTCCCCTCTCCTCTGCCCCCTCTGACTCACCACGTCCATTAGCTCCTGCACCTCGCTGTTCTGCATGTTGGCCCCGATGCGCTGCAGCCCTTAGCTACCCTCCCCTCTCCTCTGCCCCCTCTGACTCACCGCGTCCATGAGCTCCTGCACCTCGCTGTCCTGCATGTTGGCTCCGATGCGCTGCAGGCCCGCCTTGAGCTCCCCTTTCCCTTTTCCCCCTCTCCCCTTTCCTTCTCTGACTCACCGTGTCCATCAGCTCCTGCACCTCGCTGACTGACCATGCCCCCTTCCCCCCACTGGCCAGCAACAGAGACTCACCGCGTCCATCAGCTCCTGCACCTCGCTGTCCTGCATGTTGGCTCCGATGCGCTGCAGGCCCGCCTTGAGCTCCCCTTTCCCTTTTCCCCCTCTCCCCTTTCCTTCTCTGACTCACCGTGTCCATCAGCTCCTGCACCTCGCTGACTGACCATGCCCCCTTCCCCCCACTGGCCAGCAACAGAGACTCACCGCGTCCATCAGCTCCTGCACCTCGCTGACTGACCATGCCCCCTTCCCCCCACTGGCCAGCAACAGAGACTCACCGCGTCCATCAGCTCCTGCACCTCGCTGACTGACCATGCCCCCTTCCCCCCACTGGCCAGCAACAGAGACTCACCGCGTCCATCAGCTCCTGCACCTCGCTGACTGACCATGCCCCCTTCCCCCCACTGGCCAGCAACAGAGACTCACCGCGTCCATGAGCTCCTGCACCTCGCTGTCCTGCATGTTGGCTCCGATGCGCTGCAGGCCCGCCTTGAGCTCTTCAAACGTGATGGTGCCGCTCCTGTCCGTGTCCATCATCTCAAACGTCTGCTTCAGCCCTGAGATCTCCTCCTCTGATAGCGACTCTGCGATCACCTGTTAGAGTGAGTGGAGGAGTGGGGTTGGGGTTCACGAGATCATAAGTGAATCTGCTCACACTCACACTGACACTCACACTCTCACTCACACTCACACTAACACTCACACTCATTGCAAGAGCATTTCACTCACCTCACCCTGGCGATTGCAAAGGCCAGTTTCACTGTGAATCTGTGAACAGCAATACCACTCACCTGCGGAGCCGTGTGATCAGACATTCCAGCGAGCTGCAGTTTCTAAGGAGAAGGTTTAGCAAAGGAGAAAACAGTAGTAGAAAAACCTAGCTAGTTTACGTAGGGTTCTGTAAAGTCGAAGCTCTTCACTAAGCAGTGGCTAAAACACGGACAAACAAGTTTCGGCTGTAGGGAAACCCCTAGCAAGCCTTCATCAGTGCCGAATGAAAGAATGTGAGCGAGGCCTAGCATTCTAAAGCAAAGAAAGAAAGGCTAACCACCGAAAATACAAATCCCTAGGCTATCTTCACCCTGGTCAACCCAAACAGATGGGGACCAATCCAGGCTGCCCTGGAAATTCCAAGGAGCCACGTCTTGAGTTCGTTCTGTGCGAACAATTGCTTGAGGTAACACAGGACCACCCCCCCTCCAGAGGCTGCAACTCAAAGGCGAGGCACAAAACCCCGAGAGCATTGTTCATCCATCCCACTCACCCGCAGAGCCATTTTTTTTAGTTTGTTCATAGCTGAGAATTGCTTGAGGCGAGAGATGACCCCTGCGTCCAGAGGCCTGTCTGGCGCCACTCCGTCCTGTGCCACCCACGGGTGGCCTGCGGGGAGGGGGAGGGGACAAAGGAAGGAAGGGAAAGTGTATTGAGGGGGGGCAAGACCTTTGTGTCCTGAGGCCTGTCTGGCGCCACTCCGTCCTGTGCCACCCACGGGTGGCCTGATGGGGAGGGGGGTGTGGTGTGGGGGGGAAGAGGGAGCGGGGGGGGGATGGTGGAGAAAAGATAGGAGGTTGAGAGCCGAGAGAGGACCTCGTGTCCAGAGGCCGGTCGGGCGCCACTCCGTCCTGTGCCACCCACGGGTGGCCTGCGGGTGAGAGGGAGGGGGAGGGGACACAGTAAGGGAAATTGTATTGAGGGGGGCCAAGATTCTCGTGTCCAGAGGCTGGTCGGGCGCCACTCCATCCTGGGCCACCCACGGGTGGCCTGGAAAAGGGTAAAGGGGAGAGGGAGGGAGCGAGAGCGAAGAGCGGACATGATTATTGAAGTGCCCCGAAATCGTGAATCGATGTAAGTCGGGGGCCACTCTGTCCTGAGAGACCCTCAGGTGGCCCAAGGCAAGGGGAAAGGTGGAGGAGGGATGTGGGGAGGGCAGCAGCAGGAATCACGGTGGCAGTGGCGGCGACAGCGGTGGCAGCAGCAGAAGGAGCAGCAGCAGAAGCAGCAGCAGCAGGAGCAGCCGTGGCATCACCAGGTGCAAGCAAGGCACTCACAGAGCACTTGGTAGGCGGTGAGGCGGTGGGCGGGGTCGAGGCAGCACATGCGGCGGATGAGGTCCTTTGCATCGGAGGAGATGGCAGGCCATGGCTGTGTGGCGAAGTTCATCTGCCCCCTCAGCACCGCCTCGAATATGCCCTGCTCCGTGTCTGGTGGGAGCGAATGTGGAAGGGCGAGAGGGAAAGGAGGAGGAAGAATGGGGGAAGGGGGGGACGCATGGGGGGAGGAGGAGAGGATGGTAGGTAGGGAGGAAGGGAGGAGGGGAGGAGCGGAGGAGGGAAGGCAGGGAGGCAGCACATGCTTTGGATGAGGTCCTTTGCGTCAGAGGAGATGGCGGGCCATGGCTGCGTGGCGAATTTCATCTGCCCCCTCAGCACCGCCTCGAATATGCCCTGCTCCGTGTCTGGTGGGGGGGGTGGCAGGGGGGAAGCACAGGGGAGAGGGAGAGATAGGGTTTTGAGAGGTCTACATTCGCCTCTCGGCCTATAATAATGCATTCACCTTCGCTTTACCCCGCACTTACCAGCCCAAAAGGGAGGAACGCCTGAGAGCAGGATGTAGAGAATGACGCCCATGCTCCATATGTCCGCCTCCTTGCTGTAGCAGTGTGGGAGCGAACATGCCCGCCTGCATGCCTCCTTGCATTCACCCCTCCTTCCTTAATTCACCCCCCACTCACCAGCCCAGAAGGGCGGCACCCCAGACAAGAGGATGTAGAGAATGACGCCCATGCTCCATATGTCCGCCTCCTTGCTGTAGCGCCGCCTCAACACCTCCGGTGCCACGTAGTAGGGGCTGCCCACCACGTCGGATAGGAACTCGCCTGGTTGAAGCAGAGGGGACATAAGGGTATATGGTTGGGAGAGCGGGGTGGGAGTTGAAGCACCTCCGGTGCGGCAGTGCCACGTAGTAGGGGCTGCCCACCACGTCCGATAGGAACTCGCCTCATGTGGGCGGGAGGGAGGAGGGAGGGACGCGGTGATGAGCGCACGAGACGGGAGAGAAGGCGGGGTGCCTTGCTGCAGAGGGGAGAGAAGGCGGGGTGGCTTGCTGTAGAGGGGAGAAAAGGCGGGGTGCCTTGCTGTAGAGGGGAGAGAAGGCGGGGTGCCTTGCTGTAGAGGGGAGAAAACGCGGGGTGCCTTGCTGTAGAGGGGAGAAAAGGCGGGGTGCCTTGCTGTAGAGGGGAGAAAAGGCGGGGTGCCTTGCTGTAGAGGGGAGAAAAGGCGGGGTGCCTTGCTGTAGAGGGAGAAAAGGCGCTGTAGAGGGAGAAAAGGCGGGGGTGCCTTGCTGTAGAGGGGAGAAAAGGCGGGGGTGCCTTGCTGTAGAGGGGAGAAAAGGCGGGGTGCCTTGCTGTAGAGGGGAGAAAAGGCGGGGTGCCTTGCTGTAGAGGGGAGAAAAGGCGGGGTGCCTTGCTGTAGAGGGGAGAAAAGGCGGGGTGCCTTGCTGTAGAGGGGAGAAAAGGCGGGGTGCCTTGCTGTAGAGGGGAGAAAAGGCGGGGGTGCCTTGCTGTAGAGGGGAGAAAAGGCGGGGGTGCCTTGCTGTAGAGGGGAGAAAAGGCGGGGTGCCTTGCTGTAGAGGGGAGAAAAGGCGGGGTGCCTTGCTGTAGCGGGGAGAAAAGGCGGGGTGCCTTGCTGTAGAGGGGAGAAAAGGCGGGGGTGCCTTGCTGTAGAGGGGAGAAAAGGCGGGGGTGCCTTGCTGTAGAGGGGAGAAAAGGCGGGGTGCCTTGCTGCAGAGGGGAGAAAATGCGGGGTGCCTTGCTGTAGAGGGGAGAAAAGGCGGGGTGCCTTGCTGCTGTAGTGCCGCCTCAGCACCTCTGGAGCCACGTAGTAGGGGCTGCCCACCACATCCGACAGCATCTCGACTGGTTGGAGGGGCGGGGACATGAGGGTATGGGTGGGAGAGAGGTTGACAAGGAAGCACCTTCAGGTTCACGTAGGAGGGAGTTCCTATGGGCTGCCCAGCCCACCACGCCTAGTAGGGCCTCGCCTGGGAGTTCCCATGAGGAACAAAGGGGCTACATTACAGGTAGTGTGTTTACTTTTGAGGCGACTCAGAAGTAGTTTTGCCTGGGAGTTCCCCCTTGGAATAAGGGAATGCGGGAAATGAGGAAGGTGCGAGCGGGTGGGTGAGTAGGTGCAGAGAGATAAAGCGCGCGCGTGTGAGGGGGCATGTAAGAAAAGAGGGGATTATGGAGGAAACGGGGAAGCGAGGATGCATGGAGATTCCACAGTGACACTTCACATCACTTTCAGGTTCTGTAGAGTCAACAACCCAGCGGTCAACAACCCAGCGGTCAACAACCCAGCGGTCAACAACCCAACCCAATAATTCGTTCCGCACCTGCAAAACTCACACACAGCCCTGCAGCTGAACACACACAGTTCCGACCCACCTGGTTTGAAGAAGGTGGAGAGGCCAAAGTCGGTGGCCTTGAGGTCGGCATTCTCCGTCCTGTCTGCGAGGAGGAAGTTCTCGGGCTTTAAGTCGCGGTGCACCACGCCCAGCGAGTGGCACGTCTCCACTATCTGCGCTATCGTGCGAATCGATGTGGCTGCCTGCCGCTCACTGTTGGGGGTGAAGTTGTTGGGAAGGTCGGGCAGGAGGGAGAAGGATTGGAAGACGGGAAGGAGGCGGGAAGGGGGTGGATGTGGGGAAAGGGAAGATTAGAGAAAGGAGACGGACAGCCACATAATGCATAATGTGATACTTACTGACCCGTGCACGGTTACTTCTTGTAACCCTCCCTTGCATCCTCGGCCCCTCGTCGTGCATGCAACAACGCACATGAAAAACCCCCTCTTGATGATCCGGTCGAACAATATCCCATCAGAGCACAAGTCCTTACGGTTTCTCTTCATACTCGCCTCCCCGTCACAGTAGCCGTACTCAACGCGATGCAACGCACCTGAAGTACCCCCGCTTGATGATCCGGTCGAACAATTCCCCACCGGAGCACAACTCCATGACGATATGAACCGCGTACGCGTCTTCGTACGCGCCCTTGATACACACGATGTTCTTGTGACCCGCCAGGTGGTGCATGATCGCCACCTCGCGTTTCACATCTGCCACGTCCTCTGCGGTGATCAGTTTCTTCTTCGCGATTGTCTTGCACGCGTACTCTTTTCCCGTCGCCAGCTCCGTGCATAGATATGTAACGCCGAACTGACCCTGGCCTAGTTTCCCGCCGATTTTGTACAGCGATTCGAGTTTTTCTGCCGTGGATTTTGGGTGGGATTGGGAAATGCGAAGCGTAGTTAAGAGAGGGAGGAGAGTGAGAAGATGAGCGGATTGGGGGAATGCGGCGAGAAGAACGCGGGAGGATGAGAGAGGAAGTGTACGTATGACGGTACGAAAACATGAGAAAAGGTTCTGTACGAAATTACCACCGTACGATTCCACCAACAATAAAAGCCGTACGGTTTTCCCAACCGTTGAGACGAAGCATGGTTAGAGGAGGCACCTGTTGGTCGTCCGAGCACGGATGCGGTGAGCACGCGACCCGGCGAGACGAACTGGTCGAACCACACGCGTCGCGCGGACAGCGACTTGGGCATGGCGGACGCCATCGCGGCTTGACGATGGCGGAATAAGTTAGCGCGAGCGCCGCCCGGCTACGGCGGATTAAGTTGAGCGCGAGCGCCGGCCGGTGGTGACGGCGGAGTGGTTAACGAACGAGCCCGATGATGAAGATGGCGGGAAGTGTCACGCGTCTACACGAACACTAGCTTGGGTATAGACCAGCACTCGCTTAGTCGCGCGAAGTGAGCCGCGGTAGCAGTCGCGTGCACGATAGCAGTCGCGCAAAATGGCAGTCTGAGTGCACGCAGCACTTGCGGCGCTACACACGGGTTGTCCAAAGCTACTAAAAGTTGGAACCTTTCGTCGCAACTTGAACGTCAGAACCGCGATATCTGAACCTGAAAGCCCGAACCAGACAGTCGGAACGGTCTTTTTCCTTCACTAGCTAGAAATCAGTTAAGTTAGGTTACGGGATGGCAAGAACTGTGTCTCAGGTCATTGACTCGTGCAGAAACGAGACACAAATTCGAGCAACACTGAGAGAATGGTCGGGTTGTGAAGGAGAAGCCAGAATGAAGAGCAAGATAAGATAAATAGACGGTGTCGCGACGGCAAGCAGCTTAGTCGCCAGGTAGTTATCCCGGACGGCTGTGGTCGGAGCAGTAAGAGCGAAGATGGGCGGAGCGGGGAGTTCCGGGAAATGCTAAAATGCTGCTGGTGCGTTATGGCTGCTACAGTGATGCTGGCAAGTGGTAATCGGCAATCCCTAGGGAAGTAAGTCAAGGCGCTGATTAGGGAAAGTGAAGGGAAAGGAGGGTAGGACGGGACGGAGGGGAACGCCGATGGGGAACTTCGACGTTCGCGCTTTGATACCGTCGCCGTTCAAGCCAGCCGCGACATTTCTGTAGAGTTCGGTTCGGTTTCGTACGGTAAAGCCATCCCGGCGGTTCTGTTACACCCAGGGGTTTACAGCGAGGATGTAAAGCGAACAACCAATCCGTGTGCAGGATTGTGTTTTACTAAGATCGAGAATGTACAGAGGTCCTAGGAATATAAATTACATGTCAAGCATTCAAGAATGTAATACGCTTAGCATCCATGTTCCCATGCCTTTACCCTCTGAGCCTACTAGAACACATCAGATGTGAAACTATTCTGATGGAAAAAATGCTACTAAACTACTCCTCCGGTCAAGGCCACGGGTGTATCTCTGTGATGCAGACTCCCCGAAACGAGTCGAATCACCCCCACACTCATCCTCATCCTCATCATCACAATAGCCAGCCATCCTACTTGCATATTGTGATGCTTGAGGGGCCATGCTCATGCTCATGTGTCTATGAAGGCCCACGGTGACCATACCCATGCCCATGTCCCTCCCATGCGGGTTCACTCCACCACTCATGACCATAGCATACCCTCCGACAGGCACATCAGATCCCCCAAAGCTCATTGGTGCAGCTCCCATGTGCCCCCTTCTAGCCACACCTACGGGAGCCCCCCCAGAAGAGTACGGCCGCTGTGGCATGCTAACATAAGCCGGCCCGTGGTTCCACACTGCTGACTCAGCACCACGCCCCCATCCATCTTCTGTACCTACACCCCACGTTCCATCCACGTCAGCATGCGGTTCTTCGTGGAACTCGTCCACGTCATCGGCATGACTAGCCCAATAAGGCACGTCCACGTCAGCGGACATGTTCAAGCTGCCACACCGCCTCATACCCATCCTGTTCATGTGTGCATGGTGCATGGGCCCCATCCTTCCGGCACCCCCTCTGCTTCTCATGGCTGCACCACCACCCATGCCCCAACCACCATTCATGCCACCACCATCACCCATGGCCCCAACACCACCCATGCCCCAACCACCATTCATGCCACCACCATCACCCATGGCCCCAACACCACCCATGCCCCCACCACCATTCATGCCATACCTCTCCACAACACCCATGCTCCCTCCAGCAGTCACTGGCCGCATCAATCTCCCATCTCCAATACCTCCTCTCCCTCCTCCCCCTCCTCTCCCTCCCCTTCCTCCTCTTTCTCCTCCCCCCCCCCTTCCTCCTCGTCCTGCTCCCTCCATTCCACCACCCATGCCCTCTGGCCTGACTCCTCCTACCATCCCCCTGCTCCTCATCCTCTGTATAAGCGGCCTCTCCCCGTCCATCCCCTGTATAAGCTGTCTCTCCCCGTTCATCCCCTGTATAGGCTCACCCGCCAAGCTCATACTAGTGCTACGAAGTGGTGCTGGCCGCATGTGGGGAAGCAACGGCACTCGAGGAACGTGATCTAAAGGCATCCCAGCAGCCCTTGCTGCTGCTGCCCTGCTTGCATGAGGCGCAGCAATGCTGTGAGCGCGGATCAGGTGCAAGGAAGGTGAAGGATATTGTTCCTGCCTGTCCATGTCAGACGGACTTGCTGCTGCTGCGGCGCTGCTTGCATGAGGCGCAGCAGTGCTTTGGGAACGGGCCAGCTGCGATGACGAGTGGTGCTCCTGCCTGTACACATCACACGAACTTGCTGCTGCTGCCCTGCTCCCTAGAGGTGCAGCAGTGCTGTGAGGGCGGACCAGGTGCGATGGAGAGTTGAGCTCCTGCCTGTACACGCCAGAGGAACTTGCTGCTGCTGCTGCTGCTGCTGCTGCAGCCCTGCTCCCAAGAGGCGCGGCAGTGCTGTGAGCGCGGACCAGGTGCGTCTGTGGGTGCTGCTGCTGCTCCCTATACATGCCACTCGCACTTGCTGCTGTCGCCCTGCTTGCATGAGGCGCGGCAGTGCTGTGAGCGCGGACTAGCTGTGCCCGAGGTTGGTAGTGCTGCTGCTGCTGCTGCTGCCAGAGCGTGCCAGAAGCAGGCCTAAAATCTGCTACTGGGTTGGGACCAGGGACACTGGCGGACGGCTGCGGTCCTAATGGAGACAAGGAACGCCGCCTGCCGCCTCTGTACTGGCTGTCTTCAGGAGGCTCACTGTTCACAGCACCGTCTCCCCTTCTCTCCATGTCATTGGCACCTGTCATCCCATTCACAGCATTCGCACCGTTCGATTGCCCTCCCCCTCGGTTGGCCCCCATGCCCACGCCCTGTGGCCGGCTTGCACTGAGCTCCTGCAGGAAGCTGCGAGCAGCACTGGGCTGGCAGGATATGGGGGTGGCTGGGCGAGACGGTGAGGGTTTCCGAGGCACATCAGAAGCCATACACACCCCCTTGGCTTGGCTCGCACTGAGCTCCTGCAGGAAGGAGTGAGCAGCACTGGGCTGGCGAGTCACAGCAGTGGCTGGGCGTGAAGGGAGGTGCACCTGAGGTGTTGGGTTGATGGACTGCGTCAGAGGTTGAGAGATGGAGGAACAGAGGGAGGTGGCGGTAGCAGGGGAGACAGGTCGCGGTGTAGCCTTCTCCCCTCCTCCTCCCCCCTCTCCTTCTCCCTCCTCTCCCTGTAACCCCACTCTTCCCTGGATTCCGCTTTCCTCTCCACTCCTTACCCCTCCCGTTTCTTCAGCCTCCTCCTCCCCACTCTCCTTCGCACCTTCCTCCCAACCTTCCTCCCCACCCTCCTCCCAACCCTCCTCCCCACCCTCCTCCCCATCCTCCTCCCCAGCCTCCTCCACACCCTCCACCCCACCTTTCTCCCCACCCTCTTCCACTCCCTCCGCCCCAAACCCTTCACCATCAGAATGCAGCACCATGCTACCAGCAGGACTGCTCGGGCCATCACCCCCACCATCACCCCCGCCATCACCCCCAATGTCGCTGCCACCCTCACTGCCACTGCTTTCGCTGTCACCATCATCCCCACTATCGTTACCAACACTGCTTCCACCCTCACTACCACTTATCGCATCCCCACAATCACTGCCACCACTGCTTTCACCAATTTCGCTCCTGCTCTCACTGCTACCACCAGGTGACCTGCCCCCATACCCTTGGGGGCTGCCTATGTATCCAAAGCAGCTGGACGCCGAGCCTGCCATGCAGCCTCGGCTGGGTGACGAGCCTCGGTTGGGTGACAAGGCTGGGCTGCAGGCTCGGAGGAACAGACCCGGGAGGTTCAAGGTTCGGAGGCGAGGAACGGGGCTGCTGTTGCGAGAACGAGTGGGTGAGTGAGTGGGAGAGAGGGTAGGCGAGAGTGTGGGGGAGAATACAGGGGAGATGGACGAGGAGGCAGGGAAGGGAGAGGAGGGGGGCTGGGACCGCGAGAAAGGTGAGGAGGAGAGTGTGGGGAAGCGGCGGGAGGGTGAGCGAGAAGGAGAGAGGGTGTGGAGGGAGGGGGAGCCTAGAGGACTCTTCATACTGCTTCTCTGGCCGCTTGCATGCCCGCTGCTTGCATGCCCCCTGCTGGCACGACCGTTAGGGCTGGCAGTGGCAGGGCGGGCAGGGGAGGAGAGGGGGCTCGGATTCCGGGGGAAGGTGCAGCTGGTGAGAGCAACCAAGGCACGGCTGCCAGTGCTGGCTTGCCGAGAATGGCGGAACCTTCCAGGCGAATCGCCGCTGGGAAAGCTACTGCCAGCACCACCAGCACCACCAGCACCACCAGCACCACCAGCACCACCAGCACCACCAGCACCACCAGCGTCACCAGTACCCCCATCACCATCACAACCATCGCTTTCACCATGACTAGCAGCAGAAGCGGTTCCCTGGTGGTGGAATTCACTCACAGTACGCCTGTGCCTGAAGAGGCCCTTCCCCTTGTTGCTGCTACTGCTGGGAATGAATGTGCTAGGCTGGAAGTCTAACCCAATGCTGCTCACGCTCCTGCCTTTCCTCCTCCTCGCTGTGTCCCCACTGCTGCTGCTACCAGCAACCCCTGTGGCAGTGGCAGAGCCGTGGTTGGACGGCCCTGGCCCTTGCATTCCCTGCAGCACCACCCGGCTTGCTGAGCTTGCCGCACACACTGCAGCCGAGGCAGCAGCAGAGGCAACAGAGAGGAACGAGCCAGGCACAGCTGCAGGGAAGAGGTCTGCCGCGCCTAGGTCGTCACCAGAAGCAGTGCTGGTGCCGCTGGTGCCGCTGTGATGCTTGGCTCGGAGAGACACCAAGCTCCTGCTGCGTGCATGCCTCCCTACCCCTCCCTTGCCCTTCCCTTCCTCCACCACTCTGGCTTCAAATTCCTCACCTGCCTTCGCATACCTCTCTTCATTCCGTGAGTCCATTTTCCCCGAACCTTCACACGATGATGCGGTTACGGAGGAAGGGTGTGAGTGTGAGCGCAAGGGTGAGTGGGAAAGTGAGTGCGAGTGCGAGTGGGAGTGCGATTGTTCATGGGAGTGTGAGCGTTCGACAGCACTGCCCCTCCACCAGTGCACAGATCGCCTCTCCCTCTGTGGAGGCTGCAGGGGCCCGCTGCGTGCCTTCCCACGCCCCTGAGGCGTTTGTTCCTGCTCTGCTGGCCTCTGCTCCCTCGACTCCTCCTGCCGCTGCTCCTGTCCCTGCTGCTGCCCCTGCTGCCCCTTCCGCCCTTTCTGCTGCAGACGCCCATCACACCCATCAAGCTGCGCGCAGGTGTGACTGGTAGCATCACCAAGCTCGCGCGCGGACTCTGCACCCGTCTCATTCAACACATCGTGCCCCATGCACCTCGCCCCACCATGCTTTCGTTCCGCCCCATCGCACTCTCCCTCCGCCACATCGCATGCCCTGCCAGTCACGTTCTCTACTACTGCTTCTGCCACACTCCACCTGCGCCGGTGCAGCGTGCGACGCTGCTCAACTGAACCTGAACCTGAACTCGAACCTGAGGCGGAACCTGAAAACGAGCCTGAACCAGGAACCGAGGCATGCTCAGAAAGAGAGGCTGATTTCGGCACAGCAGGGAAAAATCTCTCCACCGCTTTATATCGCACATCAGCCCACGTCACCGCCTTGGGCACATCACTTGTTGTCCTCCTACTAGCACCCCCTCTCTTCCCGTCCCTTCTGCACACTTCAACCACTTCACCCCGCGTTGAGACCCCCTCCTCATCAATAGCAATACCACCCATGCCACTCGTACCCCTCGCTTCCTTTGCTCCCTGCGGCTCCCCACGGCCCAATAAAACATCAGAGCCTGCGACAGCTTCCTTGGCTTCCTCTTCGCTTTTGCAGCTACTGCTGCAGCCAATGCCACTGCTGCTGGTGCTGCAACTGCTGCGGCGGCCGGCACCACTACTGCTGGTGCCACTGCTGCTGCGACCGATACCGCTGCTGCTGGTGCCGCAACTGCTGCTGCTCCCTTTCCTAGCAGCGGGCCAACACAGCCCTCTGCCCCCCGGCGCAGGCGTTTGTGGGGTCAATGGCGCTGCTCCTTCTGCGAAGCTTCCTACTGAGACAGGCTCAGATGCAGTTAATGCAGCTGATTTGTCTTCCCCAGTTCCTGCCCTAGAGTCAGCGCTAACTATGAGGCCTGCTATCGTTTCAACACTCAGCTTTCGCCGACACTCCTGCTGCTGCACTTGCTGCTGCTGCTGCTGCTGCTGCAGGCGGTGAGAAATGCGGTCAGAGAAGCTCGAGGAAGGCGGAAACGCTGTTGCTGCTGCTGCTGTTGCTGATGCTGCTGCAGCAGTCACAGTAGCAGCAGCGGACGAGCTCAGCAGAGGACCGCTTTTCCATCTTTCCCCTTTCCGCCGCCTGCTCCCTTTCCGCCTACCATCGTTCCCCCCGGCGTCCACCTTTTGCGTCTGCCATTGCCCCCCCTCAGTTACCTTTTCCTCCACATTTCTCCCTTCCCCCTGCTCCTGTTCCTCCCCCCCTTCTTCCTCTTCCTCTCCGCTGCTGCCCCACGTGTCAGACACCAATTGGCTCCCGAAAACCGGCATCGCCCCCACTGTGCGTCTGCGCGTTAAAGTGGCATCTCTAAACGCGTTTCTGGGTGGATTTCTTGCAGCGATTCCTGCAGCAGCGTCTGCGGCAGTCCCTACAGGAGTACCCGCAATGGTCCCTGCAGCAGATTCCGCGGTGCTGGCGCTGATATTTTCCGCGAGTTCGCTGAAGGAACCCCAGTCAGGCGCGTATGTTTCCGCGAAAATGCGGGTAGCGGGGGCAGAGGAGCGCAAAGGGGGAGCGGAGGACTTGCGGAGCAGCGTTCCCTGAGGCCCCGCCGTAGGGGGAAGCGCGCGGCTTTCCGCTCCTGGGGGCGTCGCGGGATGCGCGGAGGCTGGATAGCGGGGGGCGGAGGAGTGGTGGAGGAATCGGCGGGCGGAAGGAGCGGGCGGAGCGGAAGCGATTAGGAAGTTAGGGCCAGATAACGACTTCGGAAAGAGGCTCTTATTGTTACGAGTGTGCATTGATTCTCCTTGGAGTGAACCGGACATTGGGAAAGCCTGCGTAACAGAACGCGCGCGAACACTGTACATGTCGCCTTCCCCCTCCTCTTCCCACTCTTCCCCCTCTTCTCCCTCTTCTCCCCCCTCTTCCTCCCTCACTTCCCATTCTCTCCCCTCGTCTCCTCCCTGCTCTCGTTCCTTGTCCTCCTCCGCGTCGCCCTCCTCGTCCATCAAATACCACTCGCACGGCTCGCTGCCCCGTCTGAACAATCCTCGACGCGGCAAACCAGGCGCGTCTGCTTCGTAACGATAAGATTCCCCCTTCGCCAGCCCTCCTTCGTAAGAGTCGAATCCCTCCCGTCTTCCCGAATCTCCTTCGTATGGTTCATATCCCCCTCGTCTTCCCGACCCTCTTTCATATGCATCAAATCCCTCTCGCCTTCCCGGCCCTCCTTCGTACAAATAAACTTCCCCCTCCCTCCCCGGCCCTCTTTCCTGCCGAACGCCGTCTCCCCAGCCGTCGTTCTCGTCGCATTCGCCATCTACTCCCGAAATCGCCGCCATTCGCGAACTGTCGTGAATGCACACCGCTTCACTGGTCGTGATCACTTCAAATGCCTCGCCTGGAAACGGCTCGTCTGAATAGGTTTCGACATTGAATCATTCGGTAGTGGAATGCTCGTACTCGTCCTCATTTGAATACGAGATAAACTCAGCTGTATCATCAGCCGTCCAACGGTCAACTAGCGCCATGCGGTGACGATCCAACGGCTACAAGCGTCGAGCTTGCTTGAAAAAACAGTTCAATGAAGTAGCTGCGATAGATTCAACCGCGTACGACAACGTGCGACAGCGTCCGAAAATGATTCAAAAATACTTCTTACGACACGCCCTATTTCTGTCAAACGAACTAGCGCGAGAGATTCACATGAGCATCCCACACGTGCCTTTCACGCTCTTGGCGAAACTTGAACGATGGCTACGGTTTTCGTGATGCTTCTGTAACTGGGCACGGCAACGTGGAGCTAGGCCATGCCACACCATGGCCACTGTTTTCTCGAAACGACATTTTGAGTAGCTCCTCCAACCGAAGCTGGCAGCAGCTCACGCCAGCCACGCAATGAGCTGTTGAGGAGAGAAGAGACAACGAATGAGCAGCTATTCTCCCTCGTTCTGTGTTGCGTTGACCGAATTGGAGGAGAATCCCTGCGGTGCCCGTTCAGCTCCTAGGGAAGTGTTTTCAGCTTCCCCAACCCTGGGAAATGTTCGGGGCTCGCTGGGGTTGGACGTCTTGCTGCTTGCAATTTCGTCACCTTGGGAGATGTTCGGTGCACACGCTTTTTTTTGGGTTGCGAAGCAACCCTTTACGATCAATTTGGCCAAAAAATATTTTCATATTTATTGTTTTTTAATAAAATATGAAAATAAAATTCATAAACTACAGTGCCCTTCCTATACTGTGTGCATGGTGAATAGTTGTCACTACTGCTCACAGTACATCAAACCATATGATTTTTTATCAGGTGTTTTGTGCAGATATATTGTACTGTTTGTATTATATGTTTTACTATTAAATGGCATTATAATAATGATAAATAAATATATGTGCATCAATAATGTTATAGGATGCATAATGTTTAATATTATATGACATGGATCATGATGCACAAGCATGCACATAATAAAATGCGTGACAGTTAACGACCAAGAAACTAAGCTATCGCCATCCCCTGCTTAGCATGGGGGGAGGTCAATAACATAGATTTCGAATAATCAACTATCACATGAAACAACACAATTTGTAAATCCTAAAAAAATGATCAACCCTATCAAATCCAGTTCGAAGTGGCAACACACGAGTCACTTTGTGCGCCAATGAACCTTTTGTGAAATGATAGACCTGAGCCATCTTTTTAAAATCCACAGACATGCATTGTTGATGGAATGATAAACATAAAAAAGTACACACGCATGTACACAATTGTTAAAGTCATAGGAGCCGTGGCTAGAGTTTAGGCTAGCCAAGGAGTGTCGAGAGAGTGGCGAACAAGAAAAGGTGGTTTCACTATAGAGAGTGAAGTACAAATAGGGTAGGAAAGGGGGGTACACCACCAAGCAGGAAGTTAGGATAACTACACTAAGGCTAGAACTACATGCAGTTATGATAATATAATTCTAACAACAATGACACATATGCACAGACACATACACACACACACACACACACACACACACACACACACACACACACACACACACACACACACACACACACACACACACACACACACACACACACACACACACACACACACACACACACACACACACACACACACACACACACACACACACACACACACACACACACACACACACACACACACACACACACACACACACACACACACACACACAACACACACACACACACACACACACACACACACACACACACACACACACACACACACACACACACACACACACACACACACACACACACACACACACACACACACACACACACACACACACACACACACACACACACACACACACACACACACACACACACACACACACACACACAGACACAGACACACACACACACACACACACACACACACACACACACACACACACACATTCACACACATACATACGAAGACAAACTAACAATAATAGAACCGCATAGAAATGCACAAACAAAGAAGACAAGTAGGAAGAAATGAAAACAGAAGATGCAAAATTTATGAACAGCAATCTAAATCAAATTTCACAATCCAACATTTCCCAATCACTTGGCTCAATCATAAGGTAGTTAATCTGGCGTACGCGCATCCTGGTGAAGAAAGAAGACAAGCATCACAAGACGAAGAAAGGAACGTGTAGAAGAGATAAAGAGCGAATACGGTGAAAGAAAATCAACCGAAAGGAAGAAGCAGAGAAAACAAGAAGAATGGATTCAAAACAAGGGAGAGAGGACGAACGAGAGAGAGAGAGAAGGAATGAGAAAGAGAGAACGAGAGAGATAGAACGAGAGAGAGTGAACGAGAGAGAGAGAACGAAGGAGAGAGAGAACGAGAGAACAAGAACGAGAGAACGAGAGAGGCAGAGCGGAAAAGAGAGAACGAGAAAGAGAGAACGAGAGAGAGAACGAGAGAGAGGGAATGAGAGAGAGAGAGAGAACGAGAGAGAGAGGACGAGAGAGAGAGAGAGAGAGAGAGAGAGAGAGAGAGAGAGAGAGAGAGAGAGAGAGAGAGAGAGAGAGAGAGAGAGAGAGAGAACGAGAACGAGAGAGAGAGAGAACGAGAACGAGAGAGAGAGAA